TGCTTCTGTTCCTTATAATGGTGACAATCACTACAAACTGGGAAGTTTAACTATAAGTATAAAGTACCATAACTGTTTTTTCCTCAAATACACATGCCAAAATTTATATTTCCAAATGAACACTGATCCATTCAAAAGTATGATTTATTCAAGACATTTTGGGAAATGGAAGGGGCAGGGAGAAGAAGGGAACTTAACAGCATTTGAAAGGCTACAGCTTTCTTTAGTATATCCTTAATGAAGTGAAACTTCATTCTCTGAGGATTGGTTTTTATTTTTATAAAAAGCAATCAGATTCAAGTATGCAACTGGTGAATACAGTACATAACAATTTTTTTATAAAATGACTAAAAATTAAGAAGTCTAAATGTTTTAATCTAGTTGGTAAACCTCCTCATGAACATAATTCCAAAGGAAGACGTGGGGAAAAAAAACTTAAAACCAATAGCAGTATCACCACGTGGCCTAGGACCCAGGCTGTCCCCCTGGCCCTAAAGGCCCTGGTTCACACAAATTAAGTTTGATGCTGGAGACTGATACCCAACTCCCCCAATAAAAAAAGTTTATGATATCTCTTTGGCTGAATGTAGCCAAATGGTTAGGACAAAAAAAAAATCTTTGCAGCAAGCTTCTCTAATAAAAATTTCATTTCCAAGATAAAACAAACTGATACAAATTTATAAGAAAAAGCGCTATTCCCCAATTTGTAAATGGTCAAAAGATTTAAGAGGCAGTGGCTCAGTGGATAGAGTACTGAGTCTGTAGTCAGGAAGATGGGTCTCCCTGAGTTCATATCTAGCCTCAGACACTGACTAGCTGTTTGACCCTGGACAAGTCACTCAACCTTGTTCGCCTCAGTTTCTCCTTAAAATGAGGTGCAGAAGGAAATGGCAAACTACTCTAGTATCTTTGCCAAGAAAACCCCAAGTGGGGTCACAAAGAGTTGGATATGATTGAAAGATATAAAGAGGTAGTTCTCAAATGAAAAAAATCCAAACTATCAGTAGCCTCATGACAAATGCTCTGAATCACTAAAAGATAAAAACAAACTAAAGCATCTGTCAGGTAAAGGAATATTTATCAACTGTGGAATAGCTGGGCAAATTATGGCAGATGAACACAATAGAATATTATACCAAAAGAAATGATGAAAAGGAATTGTTTCAGAGAAACCTGGGAAGATTTGAATGAACTCATGCAAAAGAAAATGAGCAGAATAAAATTAACAATTCATACAACAACATTGTAAAGACAAGCAATTTTGCAAGACTTAAGAACTCTGATTGACACAATGTATGAGCATGATTCTACAGTACCAAAAGATGAATAATGTTACCCTCCCTCTGACAGATGGATTCAATATGCAAAATGAGACAGAAAACGTCTGGTCATGGCCAATGTGGGAATCTGTTTTGTTTGACTATGGATATCTGATACAAGAGTAGTTTTCTTTTTGAGGGAAGAGTAAACGTAAGAGAAAATAAAAGCTTGTTAATTGAAAAAAAAATTCATTTAAAAATATTTTGTTTTTGGCTCACAGCTCTCACCTGTAGCTTCTCTAGAAAAATCTAATACATTCACAACATGGTATGTGTCTGAATTTCCCTAAATATGGGGTAAAAGGGGCCTGGGCCTTCAGCTCCCCTACAAAGTACCAAATATATACTGGGTACAGGATAACCTTTATTTCATCCTACAAAATGTTTATGATACAAATGACACAAGGCCCATATATTTATAGAGTACTGAAATAGCTCATCGACTTCTCCAAGAAGGGAACTCACACTGGGATGCTGTGAAACAATACTTTGACACCATGGTCCCTTTTTTCCATCCAAGGAGTTAACATTAGTACCACCCTATCCTGACTTTCCCCAGAAGGTAAATATACTTTGGAGGCTGCTGAACAAGCAATCCCCTTCCCAGTGAAACTTCACTATGAATAACTCACCAGCTTTGTTCTCCAAATAGAATGTTGAACACAACTGTATGTGGATGATTCCCTTCTTTCTCCATAAAGCATACTGCATGAGAAAATCCCCTTCTCTTAAGGAGTTCTTAATCTTTTTTGTGTCATGAACCCCTCTGGGAATCTGATAAAGTCTATATATAAAGCCTTTCACTGAATAATGCTTTTAGATGAATAAAACAAAACATATAGGAAAGGAAATCGATCATATAAAATTACAAAATTATATAAATATATATGTAATTATATAAAATAGTTACCAAAATCTTTAGATTATAAGCTCATTGAGGGCAGGGATGTCTTTTTTATTAATTATATGCCCAAGTACTGAGCACATTACAGGTGCTTACTAACTGCTTATTGGAAAATATAAAAAATAAGTTTATAGACCCCAGCTCAAAACCCCATGTTTCTAGAAGGCTCAAGTTCCTCGACTTCGTAAGTCATGTTTTTATGAGACTACTCTCCAAAACTTCCCAGCTACCCTGGAAATCTCCCTTCTCTGTTTAAAAAGCTAGATTATAGGATAATGGTGCTTAGAGAATTTGAAATTGCCCTGTCCTCCACAAAAGTTGGGATTCACAAACACTGCCAGTGGACCATCCATAACTACTATCTCAGGCTGTGTGCAAGTATGTCTACTTATGTTTATGTCTGTGTTTCTGCAAATAGTGGCTATCAAATTGCTCCTGGTAGGGAGAAAAGTCCACACAGGCAGAGATTACCTTCAGCATCCCTCCTGCCCCAATTCAGATCTACTCTGCTTTATGCTGGTCTGTCTTCTGAACAGAGGAAGACAAGAAAATAAGACAGGGCAAAGGGCTCAACTTCTCTGTGTCTTTTTTTCTTGTGAAATGAGACCCAGCCCACTAGCCTACCTGTGTCTTTTTTTTTTTCGTGAGGCAATTGAGGTTAAGTGACTTGTCCAGAGTCACACAGTTAGTAAGTGTTATGTGTCTGAGGCAGGATTTGAACTCAGGTCCTCCTGACTCCAGGATCAGTGCTCTATCCACTGTGCCACCTAGCTGTCCCTGAGGTTCCTGTGTCTTAAAAGCAAAGTGCCAGTAGGCATATCCACACTAGATACTAAATCCCTCTCAAATGACTCCAAAGGCATAGTTAACCAGTAACTTCACCAAACTGAATGAAGAACTCATCAAAAAGAATATCATCTCCTAAACAACAATCTAATAATTAGAAAAATACATATCTTCACCAAACAAATTTGAAGAACAACACTCAGGTGAATACATAAATTCTGAAATGTTTCAAGTAATTACTTCTATACGGAACTTTTTTTCTTGCAATAGTATTTTAATGATATTAAATAATTTTAAACACATTTAATTCCTACACTCTTCAATGTTGCCTACAGCGCTGAAGGACTGCAGTTATTTAAAACAGTTGACTCATAATGTGATTTAATATGTGTAAATAAAAGATGTTTGACTAGGCAGTCAGTGTATTGTGTTTATTTTGTGGTACTATGCTTTGTTTTCAATGTATATTGTACTGCTACTTACTTGGTAGAATCAGTACTTGATTCACAGAGCAGTTAGCGACTATGTGCTTGGATTTGCTATCTATCCTCCTAGGTAAACTGATATAACTAGCCTCAAATCAAATCTGGAAGAATTTTTGATGGTCAGAGTTTTGAATCACTAACTGCTGGTACGCTCTGGAGGTATACTGCATCTTAAGCATGACTGGATATACCAAAACGGAGTATGGTTAATAAAATGAGCTTGAATTTTTAATGAAACCTTATGGTTTTACTACAGACTTCATGGGATAGGAGTTATGATTAGAATTTGGCAATGAAAGATTGTACTTTCAATAGAAATAAATCTGACAGAGAGGGAGTGGAGTAGGCACTATATATCAAAAAGATGCACATGTCTATAGAGAAATCCATTTGAGGAGAGAAGTATATTAGAGGACAATTATTTTGTATATACTAGAGAATGCCCCTCAAGATGGAAAATATTGATCCTTTCCTAAAAAAGAAATTAAAAACTGGTACATTTTTTGAACATTCCTGTCTTCTCCTAGCTACTTTTACTTCCCAAATTAGAGGTACTCACTAAAGCTCTCTTTCTGACCCTCTTTTTTTCTCCCCTGGTAATCTCATCTTTTCCTCCCTTCCTTTAGTCTCTCCTTTCTACAATCAATCGTAGTACTTCAAGTCATCTTATCACATAACTGTTCTAATCAAAAATTTTAAAACTTTTCATGGGTTCCCATTATTATTTAAAGCAGAAACTTCTCAGTCTAGCATTCAAGACCTTCCAACATGTGGCTTCTTCCTACCTTTCCACTTTTTTTTCATACTAGTTCCCTTACACATAACTACATTCTAGCAAAATGAGATTACTTTCCATTCCCAGATCTCTTCCTTTTCTCAGGCCCTTTAGATGCATCTTCCCACATGCTTGAATTCATCTGCCCTACATTTCTTCATGTTGAAAGCCAAGTTCAGGTGACATTTCCTAAATGAAATGCCTTCTCTTAATCCTCTATGGACAAATCATCCCTCCTCCCTCAAATCCTCATGTTACTCTAAGCTTTTCTTTGGCACTTATCCACAATGGGCTTACAATCTAATGGGGAAGATAAGACACAAATAAGTCCATAACTATGTCACATAAGGAATGGTATAAGAAATTGAGATGTTTAACTTGGAAAAGAGAAAATTAGGAGGGGGGAAGGAGGAAGAGCTCATTATAGGTTCCCTCAAACATGAAAGAAAGATTAGACTCATCTAATATAGATACAGAGGATAATACTTCATGGTGGCAGCTGTGATGGAATTTTGGTATTAAAAAGTAGCACAACTTTAAGAATTATACAAAGTTGTGGAAAACTTCATTCCATTACAATATGTATAATTACAATTATTCATTGACAAAGTGGTAGCAAAGATGAGATACGTTACTGTTAACATTTCATTTCTATGTTAACATGAAATTCCAAATTTACATTAGTAATTCCACCAAAGAATGAAGAAAAATAATGATCTGGAAAACTGTACCTGTTCATCTCTTTGTCTCCACTCTTGCCAATTTTCTTCTTGCAAGTCTTTCTGTACCGGATTTGGCAGCGAAAGCTCATGTTGAGAGCTACAAACCACCTGGGAGGATTTCTGGGGAATCTTCTTAAAAGCAATATTTCTAAGCTGAAAGGACAACAAAGCATGTGTATTGCTATCAGCTAATTAAACTCTAGGTTACTGGTGACTAGAAATTTAAATTATCCTGATTAGTCAATCAGTTATTAAAACCAAATAAATAACTATTTGCTTGCTAAAATCTTTGTGGGTACAAATAATGTTACTTTGAGAGGCAGTGAGATATAGGTGGTACGAGTACTGGATTTGGCATCAAGAACACCTGAGTTCTAGTTTCAAAACCAATAAGGAGCTACGTGCCATTTGGCAAATTACTTATCTATATGTGTACACCCCCAATTTCCTCATCTGTAAAAGAGAGAATATCTTCACTATTTAATTCACAGATTTGTTGTGAAAGTCTTACAACATAATTCAAAGTATACTGTAAAATGTAAATCATTACACCATTAACATAAGATTTAAAGCTAGAAGGGACTGAAACGAGTCTAATCTAGTTTTTACAAATGAGAAAGATTAAATATAATAACGAAACACTGTTTTTAGGCCCTAATTTGCTAATATTTGTGGGCTGACAATGAAAATTAAAATAATAATTTTGCCATAACACTACTTTATCAATTCTTTAATTCCTTTTATTCTAAAAGGACAAAGTTATTAAGATTGAAGAACAGAAAAACCAATGTAATTTTAAGATAAAACTACAAGGCATAAAAGAGTTACTTTTTAAAAAAAATTTTTTTAGTGAGGCAGTTGGGGTTAAGTGACTTGCCCAAGGTCACACAGCTAGTACAGGTCAAGTGTTTGGTCTGAGACCAGATCTGAACTCAGGTGCTCCTAACTTCAGGGCCAGTGCTCTTATCCACTGCGCCACCTAGCTGCCCCTAAGAGTTACTCTTAAATGGTTAACAAACCAAAAGTTTGTTTAACAACCTGATCAACCCTGGGTAAACTGACCACTGACATCCTGGATGTGATGAATAGAGGAACTAATTCTTGAATTCAATATAAAAGTTACATAGTATTTCCACTTAAAAATCAAGGTAAAGTAGGTGAGAGAAATAGAGGAAAAATGTAAGGCTTCAAAAAACCCAGGATCATAAATTTTCATTTGACTTTGAAGGCAATTGGGATGGGAGCCATAGCAGGGTTCTCAAGATAATCCAAACACCATTATTAAGATAATATTTATGTAACATTTCATAACTTACCAAGTGCTTTACCCAGACTATTCATTTGATCCTAAAAACCCAGTTAAGGTATTACGTATTCTTTCCAAATCACAGATGAAGAAACTGAGGCTCTGAGTTAAGAATTAAGTCAAGGTCAAACTATTCATCAGTGGCAAAGCCAGGACTCAAACCCAAACTCAAACTCAAGTCATCTAGCTCTAAATTAATACCTGTCCAGCTGCTTCACTAATGAGAGATACTGATGAAGATCCGAGAAAGCCATAAATATGCATGTTCCTTCTACTACAGTACAATTACTTCACATATTTTCATTGCATTATTTTCATGGTATATAGATGGACTGGCAGGGAGAATGGACTGAGAAAAGAGACACTAGTCAAGGAGGTGATTATGCATAAACTATAAAAAAACTGGATCCAGCATAAGTGCGGCTACAGGGATGGAAAGAAGTTCCTCAGCTCAGATGCTACAGCTGACAATTTCATTCTCGTTTTCAGTCTGATTCAGAAGAGAATATAAAGCCCTTGAAATCGAGCACCCTAGTCCATACTATTGCCATATGTAGGCATAAGCTCTACGAGTAACCCTCCTGGCTGGTGGCCCTGTTTTCATCCTGTTCTTCCCACCGGTCTGTCCGAGATACCATGAAAACATTCCAATTTAAATGATGTTCGAGGAAGTTGTGCTGTAGTAGAGTCTCTTTCATCATATTATTTGATATGTAGAACAATTTTGATAAAGTACTGTTTTAATATGAGATGACCTATGTTTTAGTCCTGGCCTTCCCAGTGACTTATTTTGACCCTCTACATGTCACCTAACATTTCTGAATCTCATTCTCTTCATCTGTAAATTAAAAATGACTACCACAATATTACAGACATATTACCCTACATTCTGTTCTTCATATTCTCAACTTCAAAAGTAACAACCATGTGGTGCAATAGTATAGGGGCAGCCAAAAGTTCTAAATGAGGGCCAGAAAATAAATGTTAGAAAGTTTTCTCCCTTCAATAATCTGAGGGAAAACCATTTTAAACAGACATAGCAAAAAGTGTCTATAGCGGAAAGATCACTCTTAAAGACTCAGTAAGTTGAGTAAATGCAAAAACAATAAGAAAAGAGTGATTTGATTAGTTTTTCTAAAACAAAACAAAATTTAGTTAAGGATCTTCACATGTGTCAAATGATTGTTTGTTTTTAACTCCCCCCATCATTATTTTTGGGAAGGAGGAAGAGTATGTGATCCAGACCTGTCACTGGGAATATAGAGAACCTCCCGTGAGAAAACTCCCTGTACTAATACAGACTGGCAACTATTCTCAAACTTTAAAGTCTTAAAAACCTGCCTGTGAAGCTGAAAAGTTAAGTAATTTTCCAGGGTTGCAAAGCCAGTGTATCCAAAGGCTGGACCTGAACCCAGTTCTTCCCAAGTTAAGGCATGCTTTTGCCCATCCATATGGCAGTCTATTTTTCTATATTTTTCCCAAAGGAAAAATCTACTTTAAAATGTTTATTATGCAATTAATACTGAAAATTTGTGGAAAAACTGTCAAGTCCTCCCTAATAAGGAAAAGAATATGTGGACATGGGTCTTCAGACAATACAAAAAAGCTCCTTAAACCAGTTAACTTTCATGCTACCTCATTTGCTTCACTCTGCTGCTGTTCTTTCTTTTTTCTTCTTTTTTCTTTCTTCTTTTCATTTGTGGTTGGTTTGCTCCCCAAAGTTTGGGACTTTCCAGGATTCCGACCTCTGCCCTTCCCAGGCTCAGAATCAGAACCACTGCCACTATCTACTTGCAAGAGGGCGAAACGAGAAGCAGTAGTGGGAACAGAACTGATAACAGCTGAAGCCATTGTAAAGATGACTCTCCAGTCAATTCCTGAAAATGAAAGATAAATAAAAGGAATCAATTTAACATGCTCTCCAAGAAATTTCCTTACCACAAGTTTAGTTAGCCCAGTGTTAAAATACACACACAGACCTGTTCATAAGTTATGTATTTTTAAGAAATGACTAAAATAAGGAATTAATGAAACAGCAACATAAAATAAGAACAAAAATCATAACATCTGCCACAATAATTAGGCTGTGGAAGGGTTACTACCACAGTAGTACTTAAGTAGGTACTTAAATTATTCTAGAGTTGAAGCAAACATATTTTTCTAAATACATTCCTCCCCAAATTCCTAGAAAATAAGAAAATGGATCTCCTTTTTCTTATAAACACTTACAGCACATGTTAAAGTATTATCCATTTCTAGAAAGAGGAAAGAACTGCAAATTTTGAAATAATTTAATAGTCATTCATCTTTACAATACTGTAGTCAGGAAGATGGATGGCAGAACTGTGTGTTCATCACTGGACAAACACACATATACACACATTTGTGAGGATATGTTTGTGTGTAAACACATACACTGTGTGTAGTGGGGAGGGGGTAGAGTTGGGTATATGAGTTAGACTGCAGGGGTGGGAAACCTGTGGCCTTGAGGCCACATGTGGCCACCTAGATCTTTAAGTGAGGTCTTTTGACTGAATCCAAATTTTACACAATAAATCCTTTTAATAAAAGTACAGCTTAATAATGGCTGAAAATTACATGGAATTTTAAGCTTAATAAAGTGCTTTATATATGCTATCTTATCTGATCCTCAAAAATAGCCATGGCGGGGAAGATACCATCACCCCCATTTTACAAATGGGGACACTGAGATACAAAAGGCTAAGTGAATTGCTCAGAGTCACACTGCTTTTAAGTATGTAAGTCAGGATTTGAACTGCAGTCTTCTTGATTCCAAGAGTCTAGCCTTCTATGAATTTTGCCACCTAGCTCCATGCCATGGTGTAAGAAAGATACTGAAAGACACCCAGAAGAGGGCAATCAGGATGATGCAGAGGTTCAAGTTCAGGCTGTATTAGCAGTGGTTGAAGGAAATGAAACATATACACACCTTAAGTATAAGAATACACATAATGCATTAAAAAAATAAACACCAAACAATTTGTTGAGGAGGCACTAGCAGCTGGTGGGGGTGGGGATCAAGCCAGGGTCATGCAAGAAGTGGCATTTGAGTTGGATTTTGAAAGAAAAAAAGGATTCTAAGAGACAGAAGAAGGGAACTCATTCCATTTACAAAGAGATACACAAAGGCATGGCAATGGAATGTCATATGTGAGGAACAGTAAGAAAGTCAGTTTCCCTGGAATGAAGTATATGTGAAGGGGAATAACATATGATATGGCTGGAAAGGCAGGCTGGAGCCAGGAGAAAGAGACTTTAAATGCCAAACAGAGAAGTTTGTATTTTATCCTGGTAGTAACAGGAAACAACAGAACTTAACAAGCAGAGGAGTCACACAATCCTCTGGTTTAAGAATATCACTTTGACAGGTGTGTGGAGAATTAACTGGAGAAAGAGGGATTGGAGGAAGAAGGCTAATTCTGAGGCTACTGTAATGGTGAAAAGTGATAAGGCACTGAACTAGGGTAATGGCTAGTTGAATGAAGAAAAAGAAACAACTGAAAGACATGGGAGATAAAATAAACAAGACTTGGCAAGTACATATAGGGTAAGTGAGAATAAGTAGCTGACGTTGACTCTGAGGTTTAAAATCCATGTGAACCCATGGATGGTTGTGACCTTATCAGAAACAGGGAAGTTTGGAAGAGGGAGACATGGAGGATGGGGGTCGTACGGAGAGGTACAGCAGAGAATAATGAAGGGATATCTAGAAGGGATGTATTGAGTTTGATATGCAAGTAAGAATAATTTGTTCCTCTTGTCCCTAGAGAGAAGAACTAGAAGGAACGGAGGTTCCATAAAGACAAATTTAGTCCTGAAATAAGAAAAATTTCTGAGAAAGGAAAACTATCCAAGAATATGTGGGATTGGAATCCAGGTCTTCATTACTCTAAGGTCAGACTTCCATTATACAAATGCTGTATCTCTTAATTAAGTCATTTTGCACCTTTCTAAAGTTTTCTGTAGGGAGACACAATTAAGGATCTTTAAGACATAAGAATTTTGTCCTAAATTACTTGTCTCTAAAGTCAATCTGTATAAATTTATTGATTAATTTTGCTAAAATGAGAACGGTCAGAAACAACCTTATGCCAAAATAAAAATATTTTAATTTTAGCAAGAGAAAGATCAAAAAAGGACAACTGTCTTGGTCAGATGTGTCCTGCCAATAGAAGGAAAATAACTCTTCTTTGGCTTGTTTTCTTTCCCATGGAGAACATCTTTGGACTGGAAAGGATAAAACCAAAGTGGTTAACAGGGAACTGAAGCCTAAAATAAGGAAATTAAATAGCACAGCTAGCTGCTTTCAATTAATTCAATTTACCAGACCCAGAAAACTACATTTGGATGTAGTTCTGAACTGGTACATATGATTGCTAAGTTGCTGATCTTTGAAAAGGTACCACAAAACTGGAGATAAATGCTGTCCCAATTTTCAAAAGGCAAAGACAACAATATTCAAACTACCGGACCAGTAAACTTGACACTTTTGGCAAAACCCTAAAATATATTAGAGATTGTAAGCACTTTAAAAAAAGGAATCAGTGATCCCTGAGAGCCAAAACAGGTTCATCAAAAATAGATTAAATTTCATTTTTGACAGCATCACTAGACTCGTGGAACATAGGATTGCCATAGACAAGAAATACCACCTATATTTTAGCATAGCATTTGACAAAACTTTTCAATGAAACCACTGTTGACAAATGTGAAAAATGTGAGTTAGGTTCATAGTATGATAATAAAATGGATTCAGAATTTTTTTTTCTCTTTCTTCTTTTTGGTGAGGCAATCAGGGTTAGGTGACTTGTCCAGTGTCACACAGCTACCAAGTGTCAAGTGTCTGAGGTCAAATTTGAACTCAGGTCCTCCTTACTCCAAGGCCAGAGCTCTATCCACTGCACCACCTAGCTGCCCCTGGATTCAGAATTTTGAATGAATAGACCCAAAGTTAAATTAATGGGCTAATACAACCTAGAGGACAGTCTCTAATGATAACCCCAGGGATCTGTTCTTGGTTACTGGTCTGCATTTTTATTGGTGACAAACTTACTAAGGTAGCAATAAGATAAATGGCATAAAGTTAGCTAAAACAGATTCAAGATGGCATCATCTGCCCAGAACAAGGTTAGATCTAGAAAAGATGAAATTTAACAGGGTTAAATTCCTCCCCTTTGATTAAAAAAATCAATTGCACAAAGAAGAGAGAAAGCATGGCTAGAAAATGACTCACGTGAAAGAGATTTGGATATTTTAGCTACCTGAAAATCAATGAGATACAGCAGCCTTTCAAGAAAGTGAATAGATTCTTTGGAACGAGAAAGGTATAGTATATACAACAAGAAAGGTATGATTACTATTACCACTACAACACTGGACTGGTCAAGCAAGATCTGAAATATTATGTTCAGTTCAGTGTGCCGTATTTTAGAAAAAACACAGAGACTGGAGTACATGATAAAAGGCTTAAAGACCATGCATGATAAGGCTCAACTGAAAAAATTACTGATGTTTTCTCTGGAAGAGTAAAGACATAACGGGAGATCACCTACGGGACAGGCAAACCAGTCTAACAAAAGTGGGGAAGAGGAAGGAGACAATTTGTGCCAGTCAAGTTGAGCCACTACTACCACTCAACCACAACATACCCCTGAAACAGTGACAGAAAAAGCCTAGGACCGTGAATCCAAGTCTTGGGAACAGTAGTGTCCCCTAGATCATTTGTCATGCTTCCAGTACAATCCTTAGAGCCCTCATCCTGGGAAGTAGCCCCTATGGAGAAGTGGCCGACAACTGCTTCCGTAGATTCTGCAGCAAGAGATTACTAAAGACTCAAAAAAGAAAAATTCTTGCTACTAAAGTACTTGGCACTGGAAAATGGTTCAATGACATAATTTTTATCAGTGGAAATGACACTGAAATTGATACACTACCATCTGCTGCTGCACCATAAGGACCAAAGGACCTTTTCCTCTCACTTGCAGGGGAAACCCTCTATATGTGATGCTGCCCCATTAGAAAGTGAGCTCCTTGAGAACAGGGATTATCTTTTATATTTCTATCTCCAGTGCTTAACACATATAAGTGCTTTTCCTTTCATTCATTACAATGGATGTTTTCAAGTATTTGAAAGGCTATAATGTGGATAAGGAGAGTGGTCAGTGGATTAGGTTATAAATATGCAAGACACAGTAGTCAATGACTATAGTAATCTATTATTTGATAAATCCAAAGACCCCAGCTTCTGGGATAAGAACCCACTCTTTGGAAAAAACTGTTGTGAAAACTGGAAAAGAATGTGGCAGAAACTAGGCATAGACAAAAATCTCACACTATACACCAAAATAAAGTCAAAATGGGTTCATGATTTAGATATAAAGGCCGAAACTATAAGCAAACTGGGAAAGCAAGGAATACTTTACCTAGCAGATCTTTGGAGAACAAAAGAATTCATGACCAAACAAGAGATAGAACATTATGAAAAGCAAAATGGATAATTTTGATTATGTTACATTGAAAAGTTTTTGCACAAACAAAACTAATGCAACTAAAATTAGAAGGAAGGTAGAAAATTGGGAAAGAATTTTTACAACCAGTCTCTGATAAGGGCCTCATTTCTAAAATACATAGAGAATTAAGTCAAATTTATAAGAATACAAGCCATTCCCCAACTGATAAATGATCAAAGGATATGAACAGACAGTTCTCAGATGAAGAAATTAAAGCCACCTATAGTCATATGAAAAAATGCTCTAAATCATTACTGATGACAGAAATGCAAATAAAAACAACTCTGAGGTACCACATCACTCCTATCAGATTCGCTAACATGACAAAACAGGAAAATGATAAACGT